TGAACGGAACAAAGAGGACAAACAGAGTCAACCACAGAGAACAGAGAACCTCTTGCCACAACCAGCTCATCAAACCAGGCCAAATCATGTCTGAGGCAATTTTCTGGGCAGCCTTCAGAGAGGCACCCAGCCTGAGAAGCCAGCCCATTATGCCTGATCATTCTCTGCAGCTCTTTCCTGAAAAAAGACAAGTCCAGACTGGCCCAGTGTAGACAAATGAACAGTTCTATTATCTCTGAAAGGCAATCTAATTCCCTTCAAATTTAAAAGGCTCCACAGTTTCCTAACAGGCCTCAGTGGGGCTCATGTAGAAATTAATAAGTTCACAGTGTGCCCAGCTTGCTTTCATTATCATTTTTTGCCATGCAGTGGACAGGATTTTCATTATTACTCAACGATTTTTCTGTATCTGATTCTTTAAGAAGGTCATGTCCACAGGGCTCAGACACTGGGTTGAGAACTGAGTTAGCTCTAATGGACCACACTGAAGTCTGAGGGGAGTGTTGTTGACTGAGAGTGGGTGTCTCTGCTAATCAGGTGGGGCAGGGGTCAGAGGGGAAGATCATAGGGAAAAGGAACTCAGAGCAAGTGATGAGAAGCCCCGGGCCCAGTCCCAGCCCCACGACTGGCCTGCTCCCAGATACTGAGCCAGTTGCTTGGTCTCTGTGAGTTAGTTCCCTCCCCTATAAAATAGGCAGATAGAAGAATCTGGAAAAAAAAATAAAACCCCTCAAATTTATTAAACTACTATCTCTAGAATCATTGCAATATGCATAAATAGATATTCTTTAAATAAAATCAAAACAACAACCCTGGAAAGCTCATATTATTTTACTAATGAAGGTAATGAGAATACTATAATTTGTTATTCCACCATATTGTCACTAAGTCACATCATTAGAGTGAGCCACATGGGGCCAGGAAATTAGAGACTTGTGTGAATGTGACTGCAAAATCATGCAACTTTTCTGGAAAGCAATTTAACACGGTTATAAATTTAAAATGTTTGACTAATTTCATTCTTAAAATCCATCCAAACAATAGAATCAGAAATGTAGAAATTACAAAAGAAAGGACTTGAAATATAAAATTGCCTCTCACCTCACACCTGTCAGAATGGCTATCATTAAAAAGACAAGAGATAAGTGTTGGCAAGGATATGGAGCAAAGAGAAGCCTGGTGCCCAGTTGGTGAGAATGGAACCTGGGACAGCCACTATGGAAAACAGTATGGAGGTTCCTAAAAGTTAAAAATAGAACTACCATATGATCCAGCAATTCCAATTCCAGGTATATGTCTGAAGTAAATGAAATGTTTACCTCAATGAGATACTGCATGCCCATGTGCATTGCTCAATAATTTACAATAACTGAGACATGGAAATAACCTAAGTGTCTGTGAACAGAAGACTGAATAAAGAAGATGTGGTATATATACAATGGAATATTATTCAGCCACGAGAAAGAAAATTCCGCCATGTGTGACAATATGGAGGGACTCTGAGGACATTATGCTCAGTGAAATAAACTAAACAAAGAAAAACACTGCAAGATATCACTTTGGGGGGGATCTATATGTGGATTCAGTTATATGTGGAATACCTGTATCGCATGTATGTTATCACTTACATGTGGAATTGGTTTTGAAAAGCCAAACTCAGAAATAGAGAATAGAATGGTAGTTACCATCTAATAGGGAGATGTTGGTCAAAGAGTAGAAATTTTCAAATGAATAACTTTTGGGATTCTAATGTACAACATGGTGATTATAGTTAACAATACTGTATTATATACTTGCAAGTTGCTAAAAGAGTAGATTTTAAATGTTCCCACCATAAGAAAGAAACAGTAATTATGTGAGGTGATGGGGGTGCCAGCTAAAGCTATGGCGGTAATCATTTTGTAATATATACATGTATCAAATCAACATGTTGTATACCTTAAACTTACACAATGCTACATGTCAATCATATCTCAGTAAAGTTGGAAAAAAATAAGAGAATCATAAATGTAGGAAACTGTGTAAACCATTAAATCACTTGTAGAAGAATATTTAATGAAATATGTATTTATATTTATTTAGTGGGGAAAATATTATAGTATTAAATATGAGGTATGATCACAGTTTTTGCAAAAAAAAACTGAAAAATGACGGGAAGGAAATACATTAGAATGTTGACAGAGGCTCTCTCTGGGGGTAGGAAAACATGCTTTTTATACTTTTTTTGTGCCTTGCTGTATTTTTCACACCTTATACGAAAAGCACTTTTTATAGTCCTAATCAGAAGATATACAATAAAAGCTATTTTATGTCCCTGAATTTTTTTTAAAGGGGGGTGAAAACACAGGAGAAACAAGACAGAGCAAAAATGATATGGATGGAAACATCTCCCAATAAACTTACAGCTCACCTCGCAGGCTACATGGGAAATAACGAGCACTGGGGAAGCAGTGGAAGATCGTCACCCAACACAGGAACAGTGATAAGGGGGGACTAAGAGCCGCGGTTGACTTTGAGAAGTGATGGAGCTGGCAGATATGAATTTTTCAATTTTACGAGAATGATAGGGATCTGAAATAAATCTTTATATTTTCTTTTTAAGATAAATGTTTTAAAATAAATGCCTGCAGCATGGATGGATGGCAAATGCCTGTCCTGTCTTAGACCTGATCATAAATAACGCTGAGAAAAATAGCTTTGGCCATTCTAAAAAGCACCTTTATTTTTACTCTTAAGAGCTTAGAAGATTATATTTTGACACATTAAGCTAGTTTTTTTTTTCTTTATGCAGCTGCAGATATCAGGAGGAGTATAGAAATTGTCTTCAGATGGAAATAACTACTCAGGGCTTGGCTTAGAAGCAAACCTTAGTTTCAAGATGTGCCTGAAAACCCACGACTACATCCAATGGTCAGAATACAAATTCAAATTTAAAGACATTTGATGGATTTATGACTTAAGGGAATCCTTTGACAAATCTCCAGGTGAAATCATGAATTGTTCTTCAGCCGTGTAACCAAGGAAGATAAGTAACTTTTTGTAAATCTAAACTTCCAAAGATCAGATTTGCTTGAAATGTGGTTGGTTTATTTCCATTTTGGGCTGTATGTTAGAGAGCTTATAACTTTACTGCAGAAAAGCATATTCAATAACTCCGGTTTCCTAGGTCACTACTGGATGAGAGCAAGGCCACCCTGCGGTCAGAATGAATGATCAGACACATCCTCATCTTTTAAAGTAAAGTGTTAGCTCACAACTCTAAAGTGACTTAACGGCACATGTTTACTTCCTGTTTAAATTGTCATTTTTTTAAGAGGGGTCACACCCTTGAAAGGACAGGTGAATGAGTTGCCCTGTCCCAGAAGGGCTTTGCTCACAGGCTGTGAGAAGGGCTGAGGGAAGCCAGAAGCACATGCTTAGTCTAACAAGGGAAGCCACAACTCTGTATTTCTGGTCTGATTCATCAAGATAAATAAGAATCATGCATTTCCATGCTAAATCTTCCAATTTTTAAATGCTGTCTCTGTTCTTTTAAGCATACACTACATGCCTAACTAAACATTTCCATGACCCAAACACTTTACTAGTGGAGATAATTAAAATCTCATTTCCAGGATGTTATTAAGAATTGCTGATTAACCCAGCAATGTCTAGTTATGTTCAAGAAGGGGATGAGTTGGAATATTCCCAGAGTGGAAAAGGTTTTGAGAAGACGCCTTATCTTTTGTGGAAAAGAGAGGATGGGATTTGCACTTCCAAGTGGAATTTGGTTGAGCTGGAGCCTCTGAGGATGGCTGAAGGATGTACGGAAATGTCTCAGCTCTAAACACCATGGAGTCACAGTTAGGTGTCCTTGGTGGTCATCATGCTACATAAAATAAAGATAAAGCCTACTTCTGGGAGTCAAGAGTATCTTCCCCATGCTCAGCAAGAATGCTTATGGGTTTATCTTCACATAATGTTGAATTTCCCCCATTTAACCCATCCCCTTGCTCCTTTATAATGCTCTGTCATGAAAAAAGGGCCTTCACAGAGCTTCTCTCTCAGAAGTGCGAAAGCCGATTTTTTTCTGCCCAAGTAGCTCATAATGTAGCAGACAAACTGTCAGAAAAAATAGACTTCATCATGGTGAAAGCCTCAGCCTGGCACCCATCTATCATAAAGCAATCTTCTAGAAATCTTGAAAACCTTCACTCAATTTCCTATCTTTCTACTGACAGTTATAAAATGTTAACGATGTTCCTCATGATGCCGGCATCTTCAGAAATTCTTTGTCTAATCCCTCCTCCTGTGGCCATCCCCTATCCCCTTTCTCTTTCCCAAGATCTATGGAGACATGAGACATAGTCATATTCTTCACACACCCTTCCAGGGACAGGCAGGGTCCTCGCAGGAGCTCAGAGGAAGAAGTGTAGTCATTGTGGCGACAGTGGGAAAGTTCTCTAGACACAAGCTGCAGTGGGCAAAATGCCACTTGCTTTTGGATTCCTCCTTCAAGAGCCACCCCCACTCTGAACTTCAAGGGCACAGCCCCGTCCAGCTCTTAGCAAATATGTCCTGGTCCTTCTTTCTTCCCCTTTCTCTTGCCAATCTATAGAGGTACAAGTCTTCACCTGTCCATGATCTGTGGGTAGTGGGAACAGTGGGTCACACTTTATCATACCTATAGGCCACCTTTCTAGAAGGAAAATTCCCCTATGGACCTTACTAGCCCAGCTTTTCCAACTCCAGTGGCCACTTCAGCAATATACCATTTCTTAGAAGTAATAAGTGCCTTGCACCGGGGGCAACAAAGGAGCAAAACCATAAATCAGAAATCAGAACATCAGACATCAGAACCACACCAGACATCAGAAAAGGCATCAGCTTTGAAATCACAGGCTGATCTATGAGATGCACAGGGTGGTGAAAATAGCTATACAGCCCATACCTGGGCTGCGTGGTTTCCCAATATGTTTCCAAAGGAAGCCAAGCCCACCCATGTTAAGCCATCATCTCACCTGCAAAAGGAATTGGTGCATCTTTATCCAGGGCAACGAGTGGTGGGTCCAAAATGACTGTGTCATTGTTCTCAGTTATGACTCCATGATACGAAGTCTCGATCCATGGCTTATGTTTATTGACTAGAAAACAATGGAAAAAAACAAAACAAAAAGATTGACTTTTAAGATAACCACTTGAGTTGCTAATCCATAGTATTACTAATATTATACATTTGCCCAATCATAACCTCACATGAGGCACACAGAATCCCCATAAAGGCAGTACTGAGACTCAGCTACCAAACACAGTTTTTGGCTGTGAGACCTTGGATAGTTCACCTTACCAAGGTTACAATATTTTTATAGCTAGATGCCTAGTGTATGTAGATATTGTTAAAAATTGACTAAAAGCATTAATTCTCAAGAGCTATTATCAATTAATACATGTTTTAGAGTTAAAGTTCATATTAATCAACAAACTAGCAGTATGGCTGGCTGTGTGCTGGGATTTCTGACCTCAGCCTAATCTGGTTCATTATTAGGAGCTGTTACTGCATTTTATACATGTACATATATAAAGTACCAACATATATGTAAAGATACACCAGATATTTGAATATTTTCTAGTCATTTAAAGACTATCTAAATGGCCTAAATTATCTAGCAATTTAATTTGCTCTTCAGATTTAACCAGCTGAATGATATATTATCTAATGAAAAATTAACACCTTAAAATGCAAATCAAATATGTGCTACTGATTTAAGTATGTCTCTGAGGAAAGGATAGGTTGGAGTCCTATTCTCCAGTACCTTGGGATGTGACCTTATTTGAAGATAAGGTCTTTATAGAGGTAACCGAATTACAGTGAGGTCATTTGGGCAGGCCCTAACCCAAAATGACTGGTTGTCCTTATAAAAAGGGGCAATTTGGACACCAAGACAGATATGCACACAGGAAAACACCATGTTAAGATTGAAGTTACAGGGTCACAGCTGAAGCACTACCGGAAGCTAGGAGAGGTACTTGGAATAAATCTTTCCCTTGCACTTTCAGAGCAAGCATGGGCCTGCCAACAGCTTGATTTTGACTTCTAGCCTCTAAAATTGTGAGACAATCCATTTTTGTTGTTCTAAGTCACACAATCTGTGATATTTTAAGGCAGTCCTAGCAAATGAATATAAGAATTCTTATAGAGTCAACAGATACTAATGAAGGATAGAGAATTTAAATAAGACTTGTGCTAGGATGGGAGAAACATTCTATGAGAGAATCTTATCTGGGGACTATCCCATTTCTGCTGATTTCAGCTCCTTGACTTGGTTCCGGGTCAGCCGTCTCCTATCTGAATCACTGCCTTGGCCTCCTGACGGTTTTCCAGTTCTTAACCTACTGGCATTGAGAATAATCTTTCTAAAATACTAATCTGATTACTCAACTGTGATCTCCTAGGTGTGTCCGTTTATTCATTCACACACCCGCACAGAAGTCTGGGTGCAGACCAGGTGCTTTAGAAACAAAATGACAGGTTAGAGAGAGCCTTAGGAAAACCAAGGGCATCCTGAGGCCAATTCCAACTCTGCTTCACAGTGTAAAAGGCAGTGCCACATATAGAATGCTTATGTCCCTCACAGCAACCTGGAAGAAAGATGCATCGTTACAAAAATGATTAAGACACTACTTTAACAAGGCATGCCTTTTCCCCAGCTGGCCATGGGGTTAAATAACTAATAATTGGGAAAACCAAAGACTCCTTTGATACTTTATGATATCCAAACACCCATGCATTCATAGTATAATGTATGTAATACATATTATACTTACATATTATGTTACCTATTTTTCGACAGCCATGGCAAAGAAAGAGCTTATAAAATTGAGAGCAGCCTGTGGCAGTGGCCCCCATCCCCTCTCCTCCCTGTCCTGCTTTAAAAGGTCAGTTAGGAGTTACTCCAGTATTGGTGGTAGCCTCCATCTGGGCCACCCCTTGGCTCCTTCTTACCCATTCCATAGCAGTCCAGGAAGAATGAGAGACAGTTCAGTGGGGCAGGGAGTGTGCCTTGCTATTCTCAGGTCTGGGCACCTGAGACCCATTTCTGGCAAATGAATCATGCCTAGGGAAGACAGCAGTTCTGCAACTGCAGGTCTGAATAGGGAAGCAGGTTCATCCATGCTCACATGTTGGCATTCAAACTGGTGCTTCTTTATAGACCCAAAGAATTACAGCCACTCTGGGCTTCCCTACTCTCTTTTGCTCTTTTATTAGCCATCAACACAAATGCAATGTAAATAATTTGCAGCTGTTGGGAAAAACAATCTTTTTTCCTTTAATTAAACCTAGGGGCCTATTTATTAGAAATGTGTACGGAGGATATGGAAGGACCTCACCCAAGGTTTTAGATTCATTGTGCCACTTGGCTTGGTGGCAGATGGTAGAATCTAGAATCATGGTTGTTGGCTTAGCAGGCCTGGCTTAGCTACTTCAGGGCTGGTCCTGTGCAAGTCAGCTGGCCACTCAGAGTTTAACTTGAAACTCTGAAAAATGGGGAACATGACACAACTCACAGGATTGTCATGTCATTCAGATGTCCTGGGCCAGACAAATAGCCCCTGATCTTTCATTACTCAGACTCACCATCCTGCTCTTTAGACAGTGACCTTGTCAGCAGGAGAGGTGATTTATAGACCTTAAAGTTGAGGTTTTCCCTCATTAGTGGGGTGGTCTTATTTCCTTCTACCCACAGGCCTGTTTCCCTTTTCTCCCCTTTATCAATACCACAGTCAGTTGAGTACCTGTCACATATTAGGCATTTCACACCATAGAAAAAATGGAAGTTCCATGGCCAGGATTCTCTCCTGACACTGGTCTGTTTGCCCACTGCACACATGCAATGCTCACAAGCACAGGTTTGCACACATGTGAGCAATAAGTTATTATTAACCCTATATGAAGAGCTCCTGCCAGTGTTCTGGAGCTGCACAGCTGCGGGCTTGCTTCGTGGGCTAAGAGGCAGTGGATGAGCCCAGAGGCAGAGACCAGCTTGCTCCGTGCAGCCTTGCCCTGAGGCAATCAAAAGGCTAGTCAGGAGTCCACCACAAGAATAAAGCTGGGTATAAACCCTTTTACCCCCAGAACTTTCCTTTGTCATATTTTGGTCTCACCGAATCCAGAGTGAACTTGCCCAGGACTGAAACCCTCAGGTGAGACATGCACATATGCATTAATCCTCCCTACAACCCTAATAGGTAAGACTGTATATTTCATTTTGCAGGTGAGGAACTGAGGCTTAGTTTTTCCCTTTTGGAAAATAAGAATGCTAACATCCCTAAAATTTCCTCATTGCTCTCCCACTTTCTTTCTTAGATCGATCTAGCTTTCACTTTGTAAAGGTGGATAAACATTTGCCTTTTGATATATAAGCAAAATTAAATCTCCTTTGCTTTGTCTATAGATGAAATCCCCAGGGCTGCAAACCAATAACCTAAATTTACATTATTTTGACTATGAGGATATTGTTCATGGCTGAGCCAATATTGCACAAGGATTACCTTTCATTTTTAGTGGTCCAAACACAATATTCCTTGCATCCAGACCAACTAGAATCTTGATTCTTTCACTCCATCAAATGGTCAAATCATACTCCATTTTAACTTGCATCCCATTTGAAAACAGCCTCCTTTGCACACATTTTTGTTTTTTGAATTTAATGATTCTTTTTTAAAAAATTTCTATTGAGTTATGAAACACAGGACATTTTCTCCCACACCTGAACCATATTATAGCTTTTTTACTCCTTCTTCATAGGTAAAATGGATATAATTACTTCATAGGAATGTTGTAAAAATCACATGAGATCATTAAGGCAAACTAGCACCCCTGATACAAATAGGCATGAAAGTACTCTTTGATAGAATCCGGACCTGAGTATTACCTTTCAAATAAGCCCCCCGACCATCACAGAGAGACCTAGGTGTCATCTTACCTAGGCTACAAGCATCTTCCAGAGGACACGTCAGCAAGCCACAAGCCCACCTTTCCACCGACCCCTCCCCTCAAAAAGCCTGCCAAAAACCTTGGCCATAAAAAGCCTCTTGACCTGTTAGAGACTCTCTTTCCTTTGTTCTGCTCACCAGAACAGAGGGGTCCCTCTCAGGTTCAGCAATAAACCTGCTTGGACTGTTGAGCTCGCATCTCCTCTCTTCTTTCATCTATCCCCTGTGTCCTTTTCACTCTTAAGCTCCCCTGGCCTGTCTCATGCCTCTGGGTAGCTGAAGTGTGGCCTTGCCCTCTCAGAGGTATTCAGTTCATTCATTCATTCAACAAATATTTATGGAGTACCTAAATGTGCAAAAACAGTTTAAGCACTGAAGGTATATAGGGGGAGAGGGAGTCCCTGAAAAAAGCATTTGACAAAATTCAACATCCACTTATAATTAAAACTATAAGCAAATGAGGATTTGGTAAAGAACTTTAATAAAAATCTATAGCTAATATCATGCCTAACAATTAGAGAGTGAATCCTCTCCTCATAAGAGCAGGAGGAATACAAGCATGTCCACTCTCACCTTGGACTGTACTATTTATTCACATAGAACTGGAGGTTCTAACACAGTTAATTAGGCAAGAAAAAAATCAGATGGGAAATTAAAAAGTAAAATTGTCTTTATTTGCAGAGAACATGATTATCAATGAAGCAAATTGTATGGAATCTACCCAAATGCTACTAGGCCTTATAAAAGAGTTTAGGAAGGTCACAGTATGGAAAATCAATGTATAAAAATTAATTATGTTTCTAGGTAGTAGCAGTAAAAAATTAGAAATTTACATTAAAAATACTAATATGATAACATTAAAAACATGAAACATAAAATGCATGCAAGATCTGTACACCAAAATCTCTAACACATTCCTGAGAGAATTTAAGGATCTGAAGAGGTCTGAATGGAGAGAGAGACAGTATTCATGATTTTGTAGACCCAGCATAGTTAAGTAAATTTCCCTCTGTTGGTCTATTGAGTCAATACAACTCAAATCAAAATAATACTAGGATTTTTTTTTAATGGATAAGCTAATTCTATAATTTATATGAAAATGAAAAAGACCTGATAAGCCAAAATAATTCTGAAAAAGAAAAGTAAAGTT